ATAGTGCTAGAGTCGTTTTTGACCTCAAAATATAATAGAATCATGTGGATGGAAACATTATGGAAAATTTGAAACATTAGTTTTGCTACTATTAACTATTTATTGTCATTTAGTTATTATGACTATAACTGCAATGTTTTAATGTAAGACTTCATTGCTCATCACATAGTAGATACTCAACACTATTTTTGGATAAATAAATGAATTAACAACTGCAGACTTGTAGGGATTTGATTATAAATACAGTAGTTGGAATAAAATTCTGAGAAACATAGGAAATAAAAGAAACATTATACCCAATCTCAAATATTTGCCTATCTTCCCAATATGTCAGGTTGCTCCACATCCCATTGTCTTGATTTGCTTTTATCTTGCATCTTGAAAGTCCTTTCTCACCTTGTTCATAAAATAAACTCTTGCACATTTATCCTGATGTGATCATTCCCCAATGTCCCCTTATCATGTTAAAATTCACTATTCTCCTTTACAAGTCACACTTGAAATCATGAGTTCCTGTAGTGTTGATTCTACTCTACACTGGACAATAATGGCTGCTGTATTGAGAACTACCTCTGGCTCTCTCAAGGCCACATGGGTCTTACTCAGGTTTGTATTTAGTGTGTGCAGAGTAAGGGTTTTGCTTAAACATGAGAACAAGATGAAGTGAGAATTTATACACTGGAAGAATGATGCCTTGACTCAAATCCAAATTACTCCAAGTAGTATGCAAGTGGAAGCACTGAAGACTTATCCAAGATTTGAACCTGGCTCCATTAGTTCCAATGCCATGTCCTTTCCACCAAGTCCTAGGGTTGTTCAGGGTATAGGGCTATATTGGAGCAAGGAGGGAGGGTGTCTGAGGGAGGTCAATGAATTTAACATCTATAAGTTTCTGGAAAGAAGCTGATCCAGAGAAGTGTTTGTAGAAGCAGGGAAAACCAGAATAATATCCCATTCCTTTAGATTTCACTGGTTATTGATATACCAGAGAGTCCCATGATGTTTTATCAAGTCATTCTCTATAGCTGGGCCAAGAAAGCAAAGGCACAGTCACCATTTTGATTGTAGGCTGTAGACTTCAAGAGAGAAATTCAGCTTTTGTTTCCTACCACATATGAGCAAATGGCAGGCACTGAATAAATACTTAATGAACAAAAGAACATGAAATCAAAGCAATTCTTGTGCTGAAGTGAAGTTTTCAGCTCTCCTCACAAATCTGTGGGAGCTCATACTTTATTTGGGTTTATTTTTACCTCAGAGTTCTCAAGGGTTGTGAAGGTAAAAACAGAACTTCTCGAAGGAACAATTCTTATGCTGAGTCTCATCCTCACCATTGTGTGTGGTGAAAAGGAATTTTCCAAGAGGTCTCTTAAATACTTCAAAACTGCAGGCAGTGTACTTCAATATCTTTTAAAATATGAAAAGCTTTCCCCCAAAATCATCTGCCTGGCTGTCCCCCTGGGGTGACTCACTGAACTGTGCAGCATCTCAGCTGCACCTGCGTTTGATCTTCCACACAGAACTGCAGTTCTTGGGTCTTGGACTAAAGACAACTTCCAGCACTTACATAAAGGCTACTTTGAGCACTCTGCCAAGGACTCGGGAGGCACTTTTTTCAAAGAAACAAATACATTTGGTTTCCAGACTTAAGGCCAAGCTTCCTTGTCCCCTAGCTCTTCTTTTTCTCTGTCTCTGACTGAGAAGTAGCTAATTATATAAAGAGGCATAAGGGAGCAGCCACCAATATCATGTTCACACAGATGCGACTCTAGAAGGAAATCTAGGTCGGCGCTGTCTTCCAGAAATGCAAGTTAAAACAATAACCTCTGCCTGTGTGTCAGAAGTAACAAAACATGGTGGCAAGAGAGGAAATGTAGTTCACAGGCTCACAACTGGTAAAAATGTACTCTTTCTTCCTCAGCAATAGAAATCGATTTTTCCGAGCTTTTGCGCATTGTCCCAAAATGCCTTCGATGTTAAGTCCCTGAAGTGTCTACATAAAACAAGAAGATCTGGTGCCAGGATTGAACTTTCTTTGGCCTTGAAGATGATTTGAGTGTCTGGTTTCCTACCAGCGGTGATAAAGTCGGGTCTAGCACAGAAGCTGTGCTCAATAGCTTGCTACATCTTAGATGCAGTTGAGCAGACAATGCTACTAGATTTAAAGCATGGGCAACATCTAAGGATATAAAATAGTTTTTCTGGTGGAATTTACGATACAGCCTATGTGGAATCCAGTACACATAGGGATTAGCAGAAACAAAAATAATCATCTGTGGCCTCTTTTATTTAATGGAACCTGGAGAGTTTTCCTAGCCTGATATTTGAAGTCATTGTACCCTGGGAAGATTGCATTTTACTTTTTCCCTGATCTCTCCTAACATTTCAAGGTGCATACATTTTCCCTAATTTATTTATTATCCATTTTTATGTTGACATAACATTGCATTAAAATATTGTTTCAGGTGTTTGTCACTGAGAATCAACACATGTACCAAATACATTGTGTTCATCACTAAAAGTCCAGTTCTATCCTTCACTGTGCCATTATCTCCTTTATTTAAGTAACTGTTTCTATGTGTGTATTATATGCCCAATACTCTACTAAGAACTTCACAAATACCTCAATATTTATATGATAAATATTTGCTGTTCTTCAGTCAAAAAAATATTTCTTGAGCATGTAGTATGTGCCAGTCATGTTCTAGGCCTCAATATGAAAGCTTCACAGGGTTTATGTGCTGGTGCAGAGACATAGACAATGTTAATATGTGGCATTTGTTAATTCCACAAAATAAGTGGTAATGAAGAAGTAGACTTGGGTAAGAGGAAATACGGCATAGAGAAGGATGTTTAATTAGGATGTGCAGGAAAAGTTTTGGTTACTAGGCATCTAATTAACAAAGATATGTTTTGCAAAAATTCCAGGGGGTAAATCTTCTGGACAAAGAAGCCACAGAGACCAAAAAGGCCTTATTGGCTCCCTTATTGGCTCTCTTGGTTTGAGAAATGCCTAGAAACAAGTGAGGGAAAAACGTGATAGGAGATGAGATCAAACAGAAAGGCGGGAGCGTAGTGATGTTGGGCCTTGAAGGACATTGTAAGGAGTTTGCATTTCATTCTGAAGATAAGGTGAAGTCTATCTGTATGTTTTGTGTTTTTAAAGATTTATTTATTTATGCATACAAGAGCTGGGGTAAAGGCCAGAGGTGTGAGGGGTGAGGGGCTTCACCGAGACAGAGTGGGGAGCAGAACAGGCAGATCAACAGAAATATACTGCTGAGGGGAGCAGCGGGTGAGTCAGGAGAGGTCTGCTGTGCCATGTGGGTAGCTCCCTGACTGGGGAGCTTCATAGGTTGCATCTTTAACCCTTGCACCACCAGGGAGGCCCCATTTTTTTAAATTAAACTTTGGTTGATTATTACCATTGCTTGACCATACTACATGAATTTCAGAGGTATCTCTTTACCTTTCTGTGTGAATAAGCCTCACTTTACACATCACAAAAATTCTAGCACCTTTCCCACAACCAGACTGGCCGCCTTAAACTTTACCCACATGGCCTGATCCGCTTCCCTTCTATCAACCTCTATATTTTTCACAGAGTCTAAGGTTATTTTTATTTCCCTTTGTTAGTTCATTTGTTTTGATTGTTTACATTCCACATATGAAAGAAACTATCTGAATAATATGAAAACACTTATTTGGAAAGATATATGTACCCCATGTTCATAGAAGCATTATTGATAATAGCAAAGCCATGAAAACACCCTAAAAGCCCATCAACAATGACTGGATAAAGAAATGTAGTATATGTGCTCAGTGTCATAAAACTCAGCTGTTAATAAAAATGAAATCTTGCCTGTTGCAACAACATGGATGGAACTGGAGGGAATTAAACTATACACAAAAAAAAAGTCAGAAGGAGAAAGACAAATACTGGATGATTTCTCTTGTACCTGGAATAAAACTATTAAGCAAATGAACTTTTATATTTTAATATTGCTGTGTTGATTGTTGAGTGGGAAGAGGTGGTGATAGGAAAAAGTAGGAGACAGGAGGTTGTTGCAGAAGTTTAGTTTGTTAGCACATAGTGTTCACAAGATAGAACTGGGATGTGTCTGAAGTCATAACTGGTAGGACATGCTCATTTAATAATTCTTTGAGATGAAGAAACTGAGATAGTGAGTTGGAGCTGTGGTATAATTGAGGATGGGCCTACTAGGAGTTAGCCTTACAATAGTCCAGAGAGGTGAAAAACGGGGCTAAGAGGGAATTTAGTCTTTATTGCCCAATCAGGCAATAAGCAGAATCAGGCAATTGGATAATTCAGGCTCAAACAGCCACAACCATTTTTTAAATTGCTACCTGGCAATTTCTTTCTTTTTTTTTTTAAACATTCATTTATTTATGCATACAAGAACTGGGGTGCAGGCCAGAGATGTAGTGGGGGAGGTGAGAGGATTCACCAGAGACAGAGCAGGGAGCAGAACAGGCAGATCTACTGAGATACACTGCTGAGGGGAGCAGCAGGAGAGACATATGAGGTCTGCTGCGCAGACCCTGACTAGGGATTGAACTTATGCTGTGTCCCGACCCGCGGGATTCGTAGGCACGAAAAGAGAAGGGCTGAGGATTGAAATGAGGGGCTTGAGACAACTTGACGCTAGCGTTTACTTCTTTATTTTTCCTTTTCCTTTCTTTTACTTTTCCCTGTCTTTCTACCTTCCCTGACCTTCTCTCTGCTCCTCTCGCAATAACCTCTCTTGCAATAACCTCTCTCGCAATGACCTCTCTCGCAATGACCTCTCTTCTTATATCCTGGTAGCTCCTCCCATCGTACTTCCCAGTCTCATTTGATTAATAGGAAACACCTGTGGTTTCTCAGCAGGCAAAAACGGTAAAGCGAAAACTAATTAATGGCACGTGTGCTGCGCAACACGGCGCATGCTCCAGGCGGCTCCGGACAATGCTGCAGAGGCTATGGATAGCTTCATAGTGCTGCATCTCAATCTCTTGTGCCACCAGAGAGGCCCTACCTGGCAATGTCTAAAGAAAGTTTTCTTGCTGGCGTTCTTGTAGATGTGCCTCCTGCACTTGCGGTGCTTGTACACTGAGCAAGAAATTCCAGGTACTTTCTTACTTACTTGGACTGTGCACTTTGCATTTGAAGTTTGCTTCTCCCTCATCACTGCTGATGAGTCACCAGAAGAAAAACTGCTTTGACAAACTTCCATAGCTGCCTTTGTTGCTCTGTGTTGACAAGAAAAGAGAATGCTGTTGGCAAAATTTGACACAGCTGGCTGCTTGTTTTCTTGGAGGACCCAAAGGTGAATATAAATAATTTATAATAGCTTTTATGATCTATCTGTCTGTTCCTGGTGACAAAATTAAGGGAATAAAGCTAAGATGGAAGAGGGAGAAATATAAAAAAGATTGAAAGAAAACATAAAATTGAATTTGGTTTAACAAATATTTATTGAGCCGTCAAAGTGTGCAAGGAAACAAAAAAGAACTAAAAGCTTATATTTACTGAATACTGTGTGCCTGTTCCTCTTGAATCCTGGGAAGACACAAGCAATAGGTGTCATTTTTATCATCATTTTATAGATGAGGGAATGGACAAGTTAAAAGGGATGAGGGAAATTGCTTTTACTCTTGAATCTAGAAAATGGCTCAGTAGCACTCCTCAAAACCAATCTTATTCTAAAGGTCATGGTCATTTTATCAGTGATCATACTATTTCTAACTAAGGGTTCACTAGGAGTTCACTACTTGGTGGAGGGGTGAAGAGAGCCAGAAATGATTCGGGGTTATTGAGAAGGGTCCATTGGAAGAGCTGTCAATGATGTTGAGATCGGAAGGAAGTATCTGACTTATTTCAGGAGGAGGGGGTATCTTCTCGGGCAGGCAAGATGAAAAAAAATGAAGAATCTAGGTTATCATCAAATGATTTTTCTCTGGGTTGCCAAACAACAATTTTTGTACATTTATTCATTTCACTGATAACACATATATATATAATATGGTGCATATATAACAAATAAGAATAATTTACCTTCTATATCATCTAATAGAGCATAGCATAGCATATTATATAACCTATGTTTTGATGTAAAAATACGAAGTGGGCATGTAACTACTGTATTCATAATATTTATATGCTATGATATTAATATATTTAAATATATAATATTGTATGTATAAATTTGTATTTCTTTCATGGACTTAATTGGGTAACTTCATTGACTGGACTCACTTTAAATTCATGTAACAAAAAAAGAACCAGATTTAAGTCTGGAGATGTGAATTTCCACATTTTTGTCAAGTCCCTTCATTTCTCAGGGTCTAATATTTTTCCTCCAGACAATGAAAAAATTGGACTCAATATTTCTTAGATCCCAAACAACTCTAAAATTCTTTGATTTGGATTTGAAAACTTGATCAACATGTTCTATTAATTGGTGACCGACCCTGTTCCCTGAGCTGGTGCTGGGTGTGTCCATGCCCCTATTGCTGTACTTACTTGGCATCTGCCTATAAACCCTTCTAGTGTGGAAACCTCCTGTGGGCAGGAATAGTGTGTTACCACCCATAACTCTAGCAACTGGCACATAGTAAATGCCCAGTCACTAAAGATTGCTCCTCTTGTACAACCCTTCAGACAGATGATTCTCTATCAATTTTTATTGGAAAATATCACTCCAATTATATTTTGTTCCTCATTATTTCAAGGTAGTTTACTTCCAGCTTGATGAAAATAAACAGTTCATGTCAGGTGGGGTTTAGGCTGGAGTCTCTTGTGAGAATGTTGCTTAACAGGCTTCATAATTACTACATAGTTAGCCTTTCAACAAGAAATCTCAAAACAATTTACTAAGAAAGCTATTACTGCGTAATTTAGAATGAGGTACAAAGAGATCAGCAACTTATTAAAGCTTAATAAATTATTCACTGTTTGGGACTGAAGCTGCTGAACCCCAGATCACAACTTTCTGTATAAACCCAAAAGAGCAGGCAAAGGAAACAGTGTTCAGATTCTGTGGACCCAGCATACTTAGCATAATCAGTTTACCTGTGTCAATTTCATTACAGTTTATAAATAGGGATGGTGACTCATGGGAAAAGAAAAGCTTCCCTACTCTTTCCCTCTTCAAGCAGGGTAATTCACCATTCAAATCTATTCTGAAAGGACCACAGAATTTAGTTCAGCAGACTCTGGGAAAGAGGTTGCTCTCTGCAGAAGCAGCCCCTGCAGGATTTGACTGGAGTTGAGAGTATCCTAGGTTGGGTGTTGTATGTCCCTCAACCATTCTTTCTGACTGGCTTCTTCATCAGAACCCTGTTTGAAAATCCCTTTATCTTCCTTTGACCCTGCAAGGCTGCTACCCAAAGGACTACACGCTAATCCTCCTCAGCTGTCTGGAGAGATTTAGCTCTTAGTCAAAGGGGTTTCAAAGAAAAGATTTTCAGCAGTCCTTGAAGGGAAATGTATTGTTGTCTATAAATAAATAGGTCACATTTATTTTTTTTTGTGAGTGACTGGAGATGCTTCAGGAAACTTAGGAACACATAAAGATGGGTGTTATCATCATTTCAATATTTCAGGGAGAAGAGAATCATAAATTTGTATAAATTTGAATAAGACTACCTGCTTATTCCCAAAGGCCTTGAATTAGGAAATATTTGGCATCAAAGAAATGCTCTTTTGTTCCTTTCTCCACAAAATTAATTCTGCTCGAGGAAATTGTGCCTAATGAAAGCCCTGAGGGAATTTTCTCTCATGAGTAAAAAGTATTATTTAAAATTAGATTAATTTCATGGTAACAGAAAAACTTTTCTTGGGGGTACTTTATAATTTGACTTACATTTTGTTTCACCATCATTTAAAAATATTTCTTTTACTAACTTATTTGTACGTTTTAACTGTACATTTTAATATGCATCTAAGAAAATAGTTTGGAAAGAGGCAGATTGTATCCTGGAAATGATACACACTTTTGGAATCCCTTCTGATTCCCATTGCAGTTTTACACTCGCTAATTAGGTGAACCAGCGATGTCTCTTAACCTTTCTGAAACTTAAGCTGCCTTTTTTATAAGCGATAATGATAAAATAAATAGCTCCCTTGAGGATGATGAGTGAATAAGATAACATTCACAGTGCCTAGTAGTTGGAAGAAAACTTTTAACTGTTAGTTTCCATCTTAAAGTCAAGAATTGTCCCAATGTCCTTAAATACCAAAATAGTTGAGATTGAATTAAGAAGGTATTTATTTGTTATTTTTTACCTCTTTGCTGTACTAACTAGTCTCTCCCCACACAGTTCAGATATTTCATATCTCTCCCATTATGCTGTTCTAATAAATATTTTTAAAATGTGACTTGTGGTAAATTAGAAAAGAATAGCTAAATATCTGTTTTCCACTGGGAACGAGGTCAAGTGACAATCATTCAAAGAGCAGTCACCTTTTGCTAATGCCAAATCTGTTGCTGATTTATAGATATTCATAGTTACATAAGTCAAAAGGTAGATATATGTGTGAATGTGGTGATTAATATAATGGAATTAAACATATTCAATCTTTCCCATTTTAATAAACTTGTTTGATTATCAATATACTGTGTGACTTGGAACAAAACACCTGGTTTCTCTGAGAATCTAGTTCCTTGATAACAAAATGAGAAAGTCTTACAAGGACTGAATCTGAAATGGCTCTAGGGATCAGGCAAACATTAATGGGGCATGTGGGTTAGTTGGATAGATATCAATTGTGGGCCCCTAATTCAAATTCGTAACAAAATGATCCAAACAGTGACCACCGCTTTTGATGATCCTGTCAGTTACCTCCTTTTATAGCCCATCAGAAACAGACCTTTTCTGCAACGTGACTTCCTTTCATAGAGCTCAATTTGTCTATTATTACTAAAGTTTTGTGAGCATCAAAAAAACTCATAGAGTTATGAGCACTGGAGATCATCAAAGATGCAGTATGTCTATACTAAAGTTTAAGAGGGAGGGTGATGAATGGAATGTCTTTAAAAGGTCGGTCTAAGATCATGAATCACATTTCATTGCTTTCAAGGAGGAAACAACCCCTTTATAGTGACGATTTCCTAGAATTCTTCCTTAGATTAAGAAACATGAATCTGCCAATGGGTCCTGCTCCTCTCTTTTTCCCCCAAATGTAGGTATATCTAAAACATCTTTGCATGAGAAAATATACACATATTTTAACATATAATTACCCTATTTCCTGCACTCAAGAAAGGGCAAAACCTGTGTTCTTTTACTGACATATAAGTGTATCACTTGATCTTTAGGAAGTAATTTAAAACTTGTGAATTTTTGCTGTGAAAATTTTCTATCTGCACATAATCACTCATATCCAGTGGCATAAGAGCTTACAGGAAGCACAGTAAATTGCCCCTTTCTAACTCTATAATTTTAAGCAAATAGGCAACTTGGAACAACTGTTTGAACTGATCATGAACTGATAATGTGACTTCTAATTGCAATCTGTTTAGCAAGACAAGGCAGTAGCATGAAGGAGGCTTATTGGTGGTGAATAAGAGGTGGGTGTATGAAACTAATAAAATTACAATACAGCCCCAATCACTTTATTATTCAATGTTAAAGAACATTAGGAAAGATTTATATCTTCTTTCAACTTCATTCTGCGACAGTTTCAAATTCAATTGCTGGGTTGTTTTAGAGTAAAGAAGTTCAAGAGGAGAATGTCTTTCAACAGTCTTATGGTGATTTAGAGTAGGTTTAATCATCTTCTACTCTCTCCAGGAAGATTACTAACATGACTTAAGAAGCAGAATGTACACTGATTTTTATCCTCAGAGAGAAGGAGAGATGCTAAAAGCTCATTATGAATCACACATCTGCATGCAGCCTACTTCACATTCAGAGAGTGAGCAGAGATTCACAACATGGATTCTGAAACAGAACATTTAGAATGTAAAACTTGGCTTCTAATGCAATAAATAGAATTCTTAGAGCCTAGAGGCTGTTAGCATAAATGAGCTATTCTGTAACTGCAAACTTAATACCCCCCTTAAATAAATTTAAATCTGCATGTGTATGAGTAAGTAGTTTTTTAAGTAAAAAACAGTGGATCCTCTGTCAGCCTGGGGATTTATGTGAGATGTCTTTATTTTCTGAGTATAGTCCATCATCTCACACTCCCTCACTTTTAACATCCTGATTTCCAGCCAAGAGAAACTACCCGAGTCCCTATATTCAGAATTTGCTTTGCCTCCACATTAAGCCATGGATAACACTTGTTCTTCCCACCCATTTTGCATGTATAAGCAAGTCT